CATTTCAGTTTGTCAGATCTTACCTTTAGCAATTGTTTCATTTACTTTCACATCCCAACGCCACACAGCGCACATGTCCCTGATGTTTCGATATGGAAACATGCATGTGGGACCATGGGACCGAGAGAATATCTGCAAAAATATATACCTGATGCTATAATTGGGACAAAGTTTCACTGCTGCTGTGTTGTGCACGGCTGATTTACACTGCAGATCCTTGGAACTGGACGGAATTCCATGCAAACCAAAAGGCTGCGTGCAGCAATTGGTACTTAGCTTCGAAGCTGGGCACCAATTGCTCCACACAGCCTTCTGGTGTATCAAATGCCTGCTACAGGTGCTGCAACATATTTTGATCTTCAGCAGCTCCCATGGACGCCGCCCGCCATCGAGCAGACGCATATAATTACATAACTAGCAGCCATGCTGGCAACTCCACATGAAATCAGCGCTATAAGCGCCGGCATTGCCAGCAACTGGGTGAGTGTCCTCGGACCGACCCATATTGTTTTTGGGAATAAATCGCATTGTCTACGTCCTTGTGGCACCCCTGGGGACACGTGGATCTTTTGACTTGGAGGAGCCAAGGACAGGCGTGTACGTGGATGTTTAATAACATTGAACTCGAGTTTCGATCAGCTGGCTTGGTTCCGACCCCCAAATAACGCATGGCCGAAGGCGCTTTCTGGAGAACCTCCTTGATATTCTCCGATATTGGGTGCGATGCATGTAGGTGCGCCCAGTCGCCCCTACTTCCGTAATGAACCGATTGATCCCACAATTTGCTGCAACAAATTTGGACACAGTTTACTACGCTTGCACATAATTTGGGACGAATCGGTGATGTTTGTCATGCTTCGGAAGGCTGCAACCCGTAATCCCACTACTTTGGCACGGAGGAAATACTTCAAGTCTTGAAGTACAGCACCCACTAAGGTGCGTTCAGCGTCGGTATTGTTCGAGTGCCATGATGATATAAACAGCTGACCAAAACCGCCAGGAGGGTGTCTACACCTAGGAACAGCAATATGACTCAACGTCCAGCCATATACGCTCAATGATAGTCACTAAAGACACAGCCACTATCACAGCCCTGTAAATCGCCCAGAATTTCTGAACATTCCGCTCCTGTACTTTTGCCACCTTAGCTCATAAACACTCACAGGACAACGAGAATCATCACAACAAGTAAATGCAAGCCCAGCAGGACACTTGGGGTGTTGTCGAGCGCTGCCGAAGCGAGGCGCAACCCCAGAGCTGAACTTCGTGTTCAAGTTCACCTTAACCGTTCACATACAACGAGAAACATACAAATGCTGATCAGCTCGACGAGAGGCATGAAAATACACGCTCAAACTGCGAAACGACGCTCCACACCTCGCTCAGTAGCTCAGTATGACGAGCGTACTGACCATTCTCCAGATGTCGCAAACCGATGTCGTCGATGCTCGTTCCCTGCGGTCCAGTGCTGCGCTCCACTCACTCGCCAAGCAACTAACGATGAAGACGAGTCGTTGAATCGACGAAGTCAGTGCCCAACATGGGCGCGCGCGGGTCAGTCGGTCAACGAAACGGGAATCGAGCTCGGCGTCGAGCTGGGGGTATGTGCAGCGGTGCACAACCCCAAGGACAACTGACCCGGAGGGTCAGGAGGCAAAGGCACACGGAAACGAAAGTGCTCGTTACAAAACTGCTCCCCTTAGACCACGCTCAACCTCCACACATTCACAGCACGACCGTTCGCAACCGAACACCCGCCGTTCAGACCGCTAGAACCAAGAACGGACGAGTGGGGGGCGGAAAGAGAGGGGAGAGGGGGCACCCACACCCCAAACACTCCCTCCTAAATACCCCCGCCAGCTCCAAAGACACTACACTTCAGCGACCCTTGGATAAACAAACAGACACATCAAGGAAAAGGCCCCAGTACCCCTTGTACTCCTCACAAGTTCCTATTGACCTTCTCCAAGTTGACCCTTTCCAAAGGGTCACACAATACAATCAAAAAAATCACTTTTGAACACTACAACATCAATCAACAGCTGTCAGCGCCCCTTGGCAGCACTCCCATGAAGATGTACTGCTGTACATCTTCTTCCCACTCACGCTGCGAGGAACTAATTGCTGTAGGTTCCTGAAAAATCAAATTAGGGGGAATCCCCCTATCCAAACAAAAAATACACCTAATGCACTTTTCATCCCAAGTACATCCATCACACCCCACAGTTCCGTAGTGGGTAGTGTCTCCCGGCTGCCTAACCCATTCCACCTCATTCTCCCCCATGTACGACATACGGGCCCTCAACTGTACCCCCTGCATCATCCAGCTTCCTTCCGGGCCTGGCAGCTCCACCTCCCACTCAATCATTACGTAACACTTCCATCTCGATGTGGCGACCACCCTCCAGTACGCCCGGGTGGCGCGCTCCACCATCCCCACAGGCAGCCCCCCGTCTCCCTTGGCGAGGCCGTCCACGCACCCCTCCCCGGCCTACGCAAACGGCGCGGGTGGGCTGTCCGGGCCGTCGCGCTCGGCGGCCATCCAAGCATCCCTCTCGGAGATGCTCCAAACGCCCTCGCCATGCCAATTCGCGGCGAAGACGCTCCGCCGGAGCCGATCGCCCAACCGAACGTTGGGGATCGCCGCGACCCAGTTGGCTCGGACGGCAAACAGCTGGCCGTTCCGGTGCCTGACTCGCCACCGAGTCGTGGCATCAAAAGCGGAGTGTAGCCAAAAAAGGGGCGTTCCGGGGCCGGAGACCATGGCCCGTGCCTCCGCCCCACCGAGCCCATTGCGGCACGCGAGCACCACTTTTCCCGCTTCGTCCGGGCCGACCAAAGGCTCGCCCGGGCCCCTTCGTCCCTGCATGCACGGATCCACAAATATCCCCGGAGGGAGAGAAAGCACTGCTCCGCCATGGAGCATGGCGGAACCGGAGGGTCCGCCCACACCGAATGCGAGCACGTTCGACCCGCCTGCGGAACGTGGGGATGCTCCGGCCATGGCGAGGGAGGGCTTCCGACGGTCCCTGCACGGTCGGGGAGGCTGGGTTGTTGCGGCGCGCCGAGCAGACCGGGCACAGCGGGCGTAGGCGGGGCGCAGGCGCAACCTGCGGGGACCAGATGCAGGAGGGCGCGGTCACGTCCGACATACGGTACATTGCACGAAATGTCAAAAGGGTGGTCTCCCGTACGGGTGCAAAACCACAAAGTACTGTTAGCAGCCGCACACAACGTCCCATCACGCCTCACTGGACCCCTATACCCTGCCAATACCTGTCCTGTCAAGGTCCTAGGACCTTTTGCAAAAGTTCAGGTCCATTCAATGACACCCCAACGGTTCATGGTCTTTTTCAAAACGGGTCAGGAATTGGCCGTTTTTCCCTACGAAAGTCACTCAAAAGGCCCTTACAAACCGGCCAGCCTCTCACTCAGGGTCCCTCACCACACGCCCTGCACACACCGTGCCTCTTTTTCCCCGGCTAATAGTACTGGACAATCTACCATAATCGCATACTAAACCCAATTCTGTACACCCAAATTCCATCACCGTCAAACTGTATTGTATCCTGTCAGCATGCGGATCCAGCTGATTGGTTTTTGTCCTTTTACCTTGACCAGTTCACAACCCAGTCACAGTCGTCCGTGCTGCCCGTAGAGTGCTCTTCAATTGACGTCATTGGTGCTCATTCTGGACGGTTCTGATGAGCGACATTGCAAAACAGCGAGATGGAGGACATCTCAGCTGTAAATGCATCAATTCGTGTGCACTGGAGAGAAGCTGAGCGTGCATACGTTTGCCTTGATCATTCAGCAGTTGCAGGACCGCTAAATGTAACCGTATGTCATGCGGTTCAATGTGATTTCTGCTGAGCACATTGACCTTTCCTTTCTCTACGGTTTTCTCTCGATTACAGTGGTGGCCATTTACTTGAGCAGATTGGACTGTAATCGAACAGTATCAACTCACATCGACGCTGATCTCACATTGGTGGGTCCTGTAGGTTTGCATTTCATGATTCTGTTGACAACTACGCCGCTACCATGCTGAAGGAAGAAAGCATTTTGCTGGTCAAGAGCGTAGCTGTCCTTCATGCACATGTCTGTCGCCGTAATACTTGAACCGGCGAAAGAGCGATCAATGGCCTTGCGGTAGCTGCGCAAGACCGATGTGCTGGCCACTGCAACATCTAACAGCGCATGTAGCGAACGGTGCACATTTGCCGATGTGTACGCTGCCATCGCATCTGAGAAGCCTCGTCATCAGGAAATCTCGCACAACAAGACGAGGAGGTTTTTAGCCTCAGCCTCCTACTTTGCCCAAACAACGTAGCGCCCAGGATTTGTGCATTGAAGTCTAATGTACAGCTCGCGACGAGAAAGGGCTTGCAAGCGGAAAGATCAATTCAGCGTTACGCATAGCAAAATCGTCTTGGTGGCAACCCTAGGTGAGAATCGCCCCAGCGTCGTGCGAACTGTGAATTGAACTGGTGGCGGGAGTTGTTGGGATACATATTGGCGAATGCCACTGTACATTTGGGAAGAGTTGCCTGGGTGCTTCGCCCCGCATTGCACAAACAACTCATCACAGGCACAGCGCAAGCTAACACAACCCTCGGATGAAGCGCAGGCTGGTGCCACCAGTTGTATCCAGTGATTCGCTAGTTTAAATGGACAAGAGAGCTTGCAATACAAACGCAGGTGTTCAGAAAAAAAAACGCAATGTTCTGTCGCTGCATTTCCCTCCTGATCCTTCCGACCATGCAACCGTCTGCCAAAGAAAGGTAAACTACGCCTCAAAGTGCGAAATGTGCTTGGGTCACTTCCATGCCAAATTGGGGCCAACACTATTATTATGCAGCACTCGGTTCCAGCTTAAGCTGTTGATATATATAGCAAGTTTATATAATATACATAGCAATATATATAACAAGGTTGTTATTCCCATGTGCAACACATTCCACCAATCTTACCCCCAACTGGCTGGCAACTTCGCGCTGTCAATGAGCCACCCTCTCGGCTCCATTTTGACCATGAGCGGAAGATGGGCTTTCGCTGTTGATGAGGCGAGAGCGGCTGCTCCTGCCAACCTTCCTGTTAATGGCGCGAACCCCCTTGGCACTCTTTCCCACATCCCCGGTAAGCTGCTTCCACCCGTGCCCAAAATTCTCCTTCCAGGAACGCTCCTCCCCCCTCAGTGGCCGATTGTGCAACCCCCTCCTAAGCACCTTCACCATCCATCGCTCAAAATACTTTCTTTCCAGTCGCCTGGTATTCTGCATCATCACCTTCTCCACCACGGCCACAAATTTGGATGGCTTTGTTTTCTTCTCTCTGTGCTTCCCTCGAAGCCACCCGCAGATGCCGAAGCCAATGATGAGGTGTTCAACAAGGGTGGTCAGGAGGGCCACGCCCTCCACACACAGCATCGCTGTGCCTATCCTCAGCCGAAAGTCACGATCTTCGTTTGGGCCCGCCAGTAAGACTATGCCAAGGGCAAAGGTGACCACGTCTGCCGCCTCAGCCAGCAAGGTGACGGCCATGTCGAGTCTGGAAGGGAAGGGCCTTGACAGGCGGGTGAGGAGGAGAGCGAGCAGTGAGATGCAGAAGAGGGCAATCACCTGGGCCATGCTGTTGTCAGAATCCACACCTCCGACCAGGCATCCCAGAAGGACGATCTTCATGTAGTCCAGGGGCCTGGTGAGTATTTGCAGCTGGTAGCGGTACAGCACGTACGGCCCTCCTGGCTTGCTTGTGTGGAGACGTTTGAACTGGGGTATCATGAACAATGGCCTGCCCTTTATCGGGATCAGCTTGCCACGATCTACCTTTCCAGTTTTCGGATCTTTATCATAGGTTGCCCCGCTGCAGCCACACACAGAGAATTGCTGAACATCGCAGCCCTGGTTCTGATCAGCTGCACCCAAGACACTGCTTGAATGAACTGTCATCATCGGGCGTGAGTATATGTTAGTGCTGTTGACATCTGGGCAATGAACATTTGTTCATATTCTGCATCTACACCGGCGCAGTTTCCAGTTTCTTGGGCCAGCAACTGCCCGGGGACAATGCGTGTTGCTGCCAGCCTGTCTTCATGGCCACAAATATGTTCATTCATCATGGCATGAGCACACACTGAGACCATTAAGTCGAATTATGGTTGGGACTATTGTGCAAGCACGGCAAAAGTGTTGCAAACAATGAAGGCACGCAACATGCACAGCTTGGGCAACACAAAGTTGACTAAACAACGATAGTGAAGGCCCCTGTTGAGAAGAAAATGTACAGTGGATGTGCCTATCAGCACCCAGCCACCTTCAAACAGATGCCAGTATGGATAACAGGCAGCATGCGCTGCTGTCACGAAATGTTCAAATTGTAACAATCATGGGCAAAGCACCCACGGGGACTAGGGCCTGCTGGGTTCTGCATTCCAACACATGTACAAAGCATGCCAAAAACTGCCACACCATTTTGCTGAATCTGCAGCACAATGGGTGCACAACCTTAATAGGCACAGCGCTTCTGATGTCATAACTGGCAGATTTCATCTCCGCTGGCTGAAAGAAAGGTTGTTTGCTTCAGTGAATGAATTTCCAGGTAATTCCAACGACAAGTGAGGAGGACAGTGTGGTGTGCAACTGCAGAGCTTCTGCTGCTCACCTGCGCATCACAGGGTGCCCACGGTTTTCTTCAAAGAGAACTCCATACCGATGAATGAAACGGCTATCCTGCTTTGTAGTGGCCACCCATGTGCAGGATGGCTGTGGCCCTCCCAGCAACGGTGATATGCAGCACTTCTCCCACAATCCACAGAAGCAGTCATGACACCCCGGGCAGTCCCTCTGAGGCTCCTCAGGCTCCTGTTCCCCATTGGGTCGCGGCAGCACAGCCATTCCCTCCTCTTCCTCCTCTTCTGGGCACAAACAGTGCTGCCTCAAAAAGTTGACACACAATGGTCAAGATGCAACGAACAAAGGACAGGTAGGAGCATGCACTGCTTGCATTGATAGCATGCAACACTGGCCAGTGCGCAAATGTGCAGCACGCTGTGTTGATTCGACAATGAATGTCCACAACGACCATTTGCGCACTCAGTGATACCTCTGGTGGCACATTTGCCTGAAGTGGAGGTGTCAATGGAAGCCAGACCACCAAACAGATAGCGATCCACTCAGAAACGTCAGCTTCATCAACATTGCCCCAGACACTGACACATGCCAGCTTTGAGCACACACTAGTATCCTTGTCCAGGAGTACATCCAAATAACCATCCTTAAGTAAGTCTGCTCCTCAACCTTACCTCCAGTGGAGGCACCGTTCTCGATTGGTGGCAGTCCATCTGGAAGAGATGGCTCGTTGAAAGCATTCTCCGTCACCTCGGAATCCTCAGCAACTGTTCCCAGCGAAGTGCCATGAACGCTGCGCGAGCTCCCTGAGCTTGTGGTGCGCACAGTTCTGATGTTGCGAGACATTCCACGGGGCAGTGCTGACAGATTGCGCTTCATGGTGCCAGCCTGCTTAACAACGTTTTTTCTGACTGCCTTGACAGTCCCAGTCACCAGGACCTTGACATTGTGGTCTGGGAAGACTTCATCGTCCAAGACAAGGTTAGCCTTCCTTCTTCTTGTGGGTTGGCTGTAAAAGAAAGCCCAAATCATGTAGAAAGTCCACACTAGGAATGATGCTGGGATCAGAACAAGCAGCCACGTGGCCAGAAGCGCATCGCCTGCACATCGCACAAAACAGCTGGTATTTTTGTTCTGACAATAAACCAGTTCAAAGGCTTGAACTGGAGGAAAGTAGAAAAACAAAACCTTCGCTGACAAAGCTCAGACAGGGCATGTTACGTATTACGATGCCCCTCAAAGACAAGATGACACTTCCGAACGGACCTGTCACAGCGACTGACACTGCTGGGTCATGCTTTTGGTCGCTTCTTCTTCTTGGTGAGTACATTTATGCTTTACACACTGCACAAAGGACACAGGCAGCATTGGGGCTATTGAGGACATGCAGCGTTCAACGATGACCAAAAGCATGCTGCATGGAACCACCTTGACCAAATCTAACAGGCAAACAGAGCACTGTGCAGGGCTCACCATTGTGTTGACAACAATGCTGTTGTGAAAATCCACTCACCCAGACCTCCTCTATAAAGTCCTGCTATGGCGATTGTGACTGCTGGCACAGCCCAGAAAGCAAACATAATTTCCAGACGTGGAACGGCAAGCATCCAGGGGACTGGCCTCCGCCTGCACAGGCAGCAGCTCAGCAGCAGTGCATGTAAGAATACAAGAAGGAGGAACGTGGCGCCGATCCACAACAGGACCCTGAGAAGGTGCTCCATTGGGTCTTCATCTTCCTCCTCCTTCATCTCACTCTGAAAATCATGGAGACAACAGTGAGATGCTGTTGACAGCATTCTATTCCCAGTTCATGGCACCCATCAGTGATGCAGAAAGGCAAACATTTTCCGCCCTGAATCCATGAGAAGCAGAGTAAGATATTGTTTATGGTATTGTAGTGTATAATCCTTTTCCACATCGTGAAGTTTCAGTGTTAAGATTTTCGCTCCACAATTTTGTGACAGACCATTACTTGGGGCTCCACATCAAGGTCACAGCCAAAACAGTGACTCCGCTCAGTTCGCATGGCCTCAAATGCCAGTTTTCCGCCAAAGCAACTCCTGCATCTGGGGCCACTAGACACCACGAGCAGTCCAGAGACCCTCACATTGTCGCTGGGGCTGCTCCACATTTTTTTGGCACCGCTACATGTTTATTATTGCTCCGCATAGAACAGGCCAAACGCTGCTTTACGATGTGGAAGGGTATGATAATATACAATATCCAGCAATGGATTGGATTGACAATACTTTGCCAGTTCAATGGGCAGCACAATGTACATGGACACTGGGCATACAGATCCTGATAGCGCGCTCTGGCCCAGATTGCCAACTTCTTCACAGTTTATTCATAGAAAAATATGCATCATTTTGGTGTCAGAATTTCAGGCGCATTTGCCCATGTGAGACACAAACATTTAACGATTCTGTGTGAAAATTGTGTCTGTGTGCATGAATCTAGTCAGGGCGATTCACTGTATCAGCAAAGGCAGGGTTAAGATGGCCACACCTCCAGCTCGTTGAAGTCGTCTTCATCCCCATCTTCCTCTCGGTCGATTCCGACAGCAGTGACATTGCCATTGCTCTGCAAAATGCACATTTGGAACCCAGATCGCTTGCTCTCAGGAGAAAACAACTTGATATTAACAAAAATAAAGGATAAGTTCTGTGGTGAACACACACTAAGCAGCAGGCACCCAGCTAGCGACGATTCAGCAGCATGTTTTACTACAATGTCAGACCAGGAACAATGTCTATAGACATTGCACAAGCCCTTGGGTGGGCAGGAACATCCAGGCAGAGTATTCCAGGCTGGAGAAAAAACACTGACACAACACCTCCCTGTGTCCATGCAAAGCAACCATGGAAGACATTGTACATCCTGATTTCAGACCTGGGCTCACCCATGCTGGCACCCACCTCAAAAGGTGAGTTGACATCGAACACAGTCCATTGCATCTCGCCAGCAAAAGCAGCATAATTCTCAGGGAAGTTCTGGATGGCCACCAAACTTGTCATGAACACTTTCTGCGCCTGGCCTAGAATGTTCAGAAACCCACCACCTCCACCACCACCACCACCACCACCTCCACCTAGATGCACAGCCACAATGATCAGAGCTACAAGCCCTCATCAATACCATGCATCAAAAGAATGGCAGTCACATGACAAACACCTCACCACTGATGCAAGAAGGTACACATACGTCATGTGCTGCAAGTCAATTTCCAAATTGTCAGGACAGGGCCGTCTGAGCTTTGTTGCAGGGAATCAGTGCGCTCAATCGGTACCAGAGATGTGGCAGCTTGCTTAGTGTGCCCAAATTTACTGTGTTAGCGAATGTGTGCATGGTGGAAATAAATATACCACATGGTTGCATTTGTAGCTCTCTTAGGAAATTTGATATGCCAACACAATGCAGGAATCCACCATATATCACTGGCAATGGCCATCATAAACCCATTTGGCAAAAGATGTCCGATTCACATGAAAGAATCACTAGCACAAGGATGCACTGCAGAAAGGGCAAGCAGTTGTTCTATTTCCTGCCATTCTATTGCAGATCTTTTCCTTGTCATCGAAATGCAACACAACACACTCAGCGAAGGGGTCAGGAAAACAAACCAAACACTCCCGAGGAGCCTCTGCAGGACGCCTACCTGACATCGACGTTGCTGCAGCAGCTGCAACCATTACAGAGGAAGCAGTCCCCAGGGCCTTGGCACCGGAAACATCAGGTGGCTGTTCCTGTGGCTCTTCCACAACAACCTCATCACCTCTCAGCACAATTTGCCTCGTGGCAAGACGTGCTCCCATTTCCTGTGTTGCACTTCCCCCAGTTGGCCTGTACCTTGCAATTGCACTGCCGCCCTGTTCATTAACATTGCCCGCAAAATCCCTGAAGGCCCTCTTTGCCAGTGTCAGCTTTATGTCTGCCGGAATGCCCACTTTAGGCCGTGCCACAATTAGCAGTTGCCGGCTTCTTAAAACATACCTCCCCCTGGCATTCTCTGCACCCTGAACTGTAAAGACGTTGCTGAAGTCGAATTCCACATCTGAGCTGCATGCTGCTGCTGCCTTGATTAGTTTCGCTACTGTGGCATTGCTAGTCAAATCCGTTATACTGGCATTGTACACACTACTGGGTAGGTTGGCGTTGCAGGACACTCCTGCCTCAGGAATTGGTCTCACAGGCTCGCTAAAATTCACACGAAATCGAGCGACTGGGCTGTTCACATCCACTGCTGGAGTAAGAGTTTCGACTGTCAGGCTGGGTGCCTTGATGTCATGGACCACATGCAATGTTCTGGTCTCATTGCCTTTCATTGCCTTGACAGTAATTGGTCTATCGTCTTTGTTGAATTCCAATGGGATTGCATATTCAACAGTACTCTTCGGCTTGAACCTTGCCTCCCCTTGCTGTTCTCCTACTAACACCTGCGTCAAAAGCAGTGGCCCTGATTATGCTCTCCACAAATAAGTTCCAACACAGCATTGACTTAGTCAACATGCCAATAGCTCAAAGGATATCCAAAGAAATAGTGCAGGAAATTGCTATTGTCTTCCTACCTCGTACCAATGATATGATAACAGTACCATCACAAAAATGAATGATATATCATTCGGTAGAAAACGCAAGGCTACAAATTAAGTTGTCTCTTGACTGATTCCACGCGAACAGTCAATTCAATCGCAGCCACTAGAACGGCAACAACTCCATAGGTGTCCACAATGGCCAAAGTCAAGTCCACAGCCTACAATCTGCTTGTCTGTCACACACCTGACTGGCAAGACAGGTCTGGAATGGGTTGTGCTTCACAATGGCAGGTTGCCCAGCACTACTTCAATAATGAAACGTGAGGGTCAGCAGCAGCCCACCTATGAGCAAACACTGTGTGCAAGCTGGGGTGTAGCAATGGTTACAAATTTCAGTAAACTCCTATTATAACTGAATCAACGCACTCCACGATGATGCTAGAACTGTCCCAGCCCCTTTCTGGCACAAAACCAAATCATGAGTAACAGACATCCAATTTGAACCTACCTCAAAAAGGCTTGGCCTGAAATGTACTGGGTGCCCACTCCTATTCACAAAGTGCATTGTGATGTCTGCCGTTTTGAGGTTTGTGTACATTGTGAGGTTGGAAGCACAGGGTGGCAGATCGCTGCCGGAAACTGTTGATCCTTGGGACGAGCACACAAACCATGGCAAGGAGGCCCGGGCAGGTCTCAGCTCACCCAAGTCCTGCATTGTGCAGCAAAGAAAGCCAGCAGTCAATTAAAGAATAACACTGGACAGCTGAGGGAAGGAACAACTTTGAAGCCATCAGCAACTGGGTTTATTACCCACAACATGCCTCATAGAGCGCTGGATACCGCAGGCAACAATTCTGTGCGTTTAAAAGCATGATGGTAATGCTTTGCACTGGATGGTTGTCCATGCATTGCATTCCTTCAGAGAGCCCTTTGTTATCTATGAGCAGAATGCAGCGGAAACTACATGAAGCAAACACAATTGCACATCCAAAACCACGACGCTGGGACAGTGCAGGCGATCCTTGCAAGATGCCCTAAAGCATGGTGTGCCTACTCTTTTGTAAAAGGGGGCAAAACTGCAGATCTACATTCTGCCGCCTCCTGATTGTCCTGGGAGTTGGGTGCCATTTATCTCCTTGGGATTAGGCCAAGGTGCCACGTGGGGGTACGCGTTGGCAAAGAACATGACCAGCTGTGACGTGACACTTTGCCTACACGGCATTTAATAAAGCAAAAAATAAACGTGTCTGCTGCACCACTGTGTCCATTTCTGTGCTGTTGTACTACAATCGGGTTGCTCACATGTGGTCAGGCGGCAAAGCATCAAGTGAACTTGCCTTGTTGTACACCATTGCCTGCTTCTCCGAAACAGCTGGGTATAAAAGAAGAGTCTGACCCTGTGCCCACTGGCATAAGGCACAAAGCACCTGAGGGCAGCACAGACCGTGCCAGTAGTCAACAACGTCGTCAAACTGAACCACAGGGACAGACCTCATGGTTTTCTTTCGCAAATACTGCAATAGGATCGAGGGTTCCATCGCGCTCCACCCACTCGAATGGAACGTTCAGCACCACTGTCCACGACGCGACACGACACCCCATCGTGTCGGAGCGCTGATGTTGCGCAGAACCCATCGGCGCACCGGCAGAATACAAGCAATCTTTGGGAGGGCATTACCAAACAAATGTTTTTGTAAAAAACACAAACAAAGAAAAACAGTCGCTCACCAGGCCTGCGGCTACGAGGCTGCCTGACTGCACCATGTTCCCAAGTCCTTCCGCCCACAGCAGCCTGGGCGCAAGCAAACCACAAAATTCAGCGAGCAGCGCACAGCAAATTTCGCTAAATGCGGGGCTGTCAGGGTCGGTGCGTGCAGTCGGAAACGGGCGCGTGTCGCGTGCGCGCGGACTTTGTGTCCCTGAGCTGGCGGTCGGCGCCGCATTCACATTGCAGTGCGCCGGGGGCGCCCACAGATTTTGCAGGATAGGAGGCGCTGGCGGATTCCCCAGGGACCTTAGTGTGCCGAATACGAACACAAGATGACTGGAGTAAAGGCCTTTCCAGCACGTCTGAGGCAGAAAAGCTGGCACAAACAGTGGCAACATGACGAACGGCGCCGGCCGCAATGCCCTTCTGGAGACTCCACGCACGCAACCGCCGCAGCCGCCGTCACGCCACATTGGCAGAACAGACCCTTCGACACGATCCCATAACAGTATTCGACAGGGCTGGCGTCCGGTCCGCGTCTTTAACTTTCCCCATCCCCAAACGCTCTCAGCGATAGTGCCCAGAGAATCAGGCGATTGTGGGCATGCTTGGCTCTGACGACCCTGAGCGCACCCTCGCCTGCTCATGCCGGGGTACCCGCCACTGCTCCGCGTCCCTCAGAGCATGCCCGCCGCCACCCCGCCGTCGTCGCTCCCCGCCGCTGCGTCCCGCGCACCCTTTCGCGTTGTGGACGGCGTGCTTGCTGGCCATCGCAAGTGCTGGGGCAGTTCCGGTCAATACGGTTCGCTGTGAAGAATCGTAGCGCCAGCGTGGCCCTCTCCCGCGGCCCCAGGTAACGCTGTGTTGGTCAAGGCGTGTTCCTGTGCGGCCTGCGGCTGCCGAAGGCTGTCAAAATGGGGCTCATGTCTTCGTACAAGAGAACCTGTGGTACCATGACTCCACATTGCTGGTGTGCCTCCTTGGTGGTTCTATCATGGGCCCGACTCAGCGCGAGTGTGCTGGTGTGCGTGCCCCGCGACCCCATTACTGGACCCCTGAGGGGCCTGACTGAATGCCCATGTCAGAAAATGGGTGCCATCTCAGTACGCCCCTGGTGGTCCCACCTCCAGGAGGGCAACATGTGGATATGCACCATTTCGCACCTGTCCACACGAACATGACAAATTCTTTATACCACAGTGCAGGGCAGTCCTTTGCGTCAGCAATCCCGCAAGCCAGGCGCAACAGGCATCCACCAATTACTCACGGACGATTGGCAACCCGAGCAGCCACCCACCCTCCCCGCCGCATGTGCATGTGCACCCATGCACATACTCATGAGCATCCACCTATGCCTGGGTGTAGATAGTGGACAGAAACCATCCACACTCACCTTCCAGCATTCACTTGGCCGTCAAAGCTACATCCAAGAGGTGTAGTTTTGCTCCACTTGTGTGGCAGTCACCCATGCGACTTTGCCGCTTCTGATCGGCAGCAGACGGTCTTCCGACTCCACTAGTCGCGCTGCGTGACCACCAGACCTGTCTAATGACCTCATTGCTAACATCAAAATGGCCTCAATGAACACCATGCGCCCTTCACATTGGTAGAAAATACGACAATGAAGCTGACACAAAGATTTTTCGCTAGCCAACACGAATTGATGCGTTTGCATCTAAGGCAGACCTTTATTGCCTTATAATTTGGCCCTTTTGTTGTTTTTTCCTCAGACGGGTGAACTGTGTTTTTTATACTACTCTTTATAAACACTCGGCTTCTGATGTAGTCAGTTTCTTGCACAAGATTCTGTCTCGCCCCCTGACCGCGCTTCCCTGCGCATCAGGTGGTTTCGGAGCGGCACCGGGTGGTCGCCAGATTCCAGGGGGAATATTCCCTGGGATTGAGATTCCGCGCAGTGGGGTGACGCGGATTGCCGTGTTGTGACATGGACTGCGCAGCGGAGCGACGCAGAGCTGTGACGTGGGATTGGACCGTGCCGTGAGCGTGTCGAGTGCTGAGTCAGCGCCGCCAGGAGCTGGGCGCCGGGGGAATACGCCAGGGGAGGTTCAGGCCCTCCCCCCCGGTACGGGTCAAGCAGCTGACTCACCCCTGCAGTACTTTGGAACAAGAGGACTTGCCCTTAAAGTACTTTGAGGCGAGAGGACCAAGGCCTGTGCCCTAGGGAACAATCCCTAAAGCCCGGGGTGCCACACCAGTATAGTAATTGGTTGTGAGCCAAGGCTTGGGACCACAGGTGACAACCTGCAGGCGGACGGCACTAGGAGAATACGCCAGTGGAGGTTTAGGCCCTCCCTTCTGGTGCAGGACAAACAGGTTTGCGGTGACGGGCTCTAGCGCCAGGACGTATGCGCTTTAGGGGTCGGGCCAAGAACTGATATATCTAGAAGGGGGATCTGCAGGCTGTGGTCTGCCCCCATTCTCTTAGGCAATAGGCGGGAAGGCCCAACGTAGAGAACCATCGACGCACAGCCACCCCACCCGGTCAGTGCAGGGTACATTTGGGTGTTGTGACGTACGTACATAGACCAGACACACCAGGTGGGGAAAGGTCACGCGGCCTAGTACCCCCAGACCGAAAGGGACTTGGTGTGGAAGGGGCTAGGTACCCACCGAGAGCGGAATACCCTTCACTGATCCTTGGGGTTGTTCATAGTTGAGGGACTACGGTGCATTTAAGGACTACGGGGAGGTAGAAGATCAGGACTACGTAGTCTTTGTCCCGGTGGTGGAGCAGTCATGGCAGCGTCAGAGTCAGGAGCATAGGGACTGGTGCCCAGGACCCAGCAGAGGGATGTTCAGGCAGACCCCATGGATGTGAATGGGGCCAGGCCAGGGATGGACCTGGTTGTGAGAGAGCCAGAGGATGTTCAGACTGCTGGAACCCCGGTGCAGGAGCAAGTGGTTGATCAACGGGTGTTTGTACATGCCCCGCAGTATCATTGGCACCAGGGTGGAGGTGTTGACCAGGATGCTCGTGCAGCTATCGAGAAGCTACACCAGGATACCTTCCAGTTCGCCCAGGAGACTGTGCGGCACACGGGTAGACTGGGTGAGGACATTGTTGCCCTCAGGTCACAGATAGCTGGAGTAGGCACGGCACAGCAGAGTGCTGCAACCGGCCTTGATGAGCTAGTTACGATGGTGGAGGCCACTTCAGCTGCAGTGGAGCAGCAGTCAAAATATATAAAGGACATTGGGCAAGGAACTCAGAGGTGGCAGGAGGTAGCCCAGAAGGAGACTGGGCAGGCGCGTGCTGATCTGGTGGAGAGCGAGGGCAGATTGACCATATTAGAGTCATCTGTCCAAGAGATTCGTGGTCCTCAGCTGGAAAAATGGCAAAAAGACATGGCAGCCATGGTGGATAAATGGAATGCATCATTTGCACAGGGCATTCAGGAAATTGAGTCACGCCAGGAGGAGCTGCAGGAGTCTGTGAATACCATGCTTCAGCGGTTGGATGATTTGGAGGCATATGGCCTGAGGACCATTCAGGAGGAGAGTGTACCTTCACCAGTATAGCACACAGCTGATAGTGCCAAATCTTTGCCCCCCTTAGCAACACGCCCTTCTTTCACTAAGATGTGGGAAGAGTGGGAAACTCATGAAGGAATTGGTGAGACACAGAAGGGATTTACTATGTCTCACACCTCCACAGTGTTGCAGGAGCCTCTCCATGCTATGTCTGAGGGACAGGTGAATGTTCCAGGGGTCAAGAGAACTCCGAGTCCAGTGGAACAATCTTCGATAGGGAAATCGATCCCCTTGGGTTTTGGCTCTTTCTCCAGAGATGGAGGATTTGGCACCAGTGGACCTGGTGAGGGAAGTGGAGGAAGGAGGATTCCTAGTGGAGGACCCAACGGACCTCCAGGAGGTGATGGTGGAGATCCGGGTGATGTAAACCCGAGCAGTCGGGTCCCCAGAGGGTGGGACCCAACTCTAGCTGCTAGGCCTCAGACTGTGGGTGCTTTGCGCCTTGAGGCTCTACCTAGATACGGAGGTGGACAACGGCCAGGTATACGCGCGTGGCTGAGGGAAATGAGCCGATGGATGAGGCTCATGGATTATCCTGAGGCCAAGTGGATTGATATAGTTGCCACCCGTATAGAGGGTGCAGCTTCCAGCTGGCTCAGTCATGAGCAGTTGGCCATCGAGAGGAGGACGCGCGCTCCTTGGGCGGATTGGGCGGATTGGGAGGATTTCCGCCAGGAGATGATTAGGGCTTTTGAGCCCACCACCGACGAAGCGGTAGCGCGGCAGCAGTTAGCTGCGCTGAGGCAGACAGGGAGCATCCCGGGATATATTCAAAAATTCCAGGAAATCCATGGGCGTATCTATGATATAAGCATTCCGGATGAATTTGCGGCATTCATTCATGGGTTGCAGCCTCGGATTAGGGCTCAAGTGGGTGCATTGGTGGAAGAGGACCTGGCAACTGCGATGCGATTGGCAGCTAGAGTGGAACTGTGGAATTCAGATACCTCCCGGAGTGGATCCAGTGGGTCAGGAAGATTTGGTGGAAAAGGAAGTAAGGGGAGAGGGAGAGGAACAGGAACGCAATCGGGAGGACAAGGGCCCAAGCAACAGGGCAAGGTCATTGTAATGGAATCCAGCGTTGCTTCGGTGGCACAAGGGGCCAAGAAGGAAGGCTAGAGTCAACCTCAGCGGCAGGATCAGCAGGGCAGAGGCAGAGGCCGTGGACAAGGACAAGGTGGACCGCCACCTTGCTTTCTGTGCCATAGCAAGGATCATTTGGTGCATGATTGCCCTGACTGGCAGAAAGCAAGGGAGGCCCTAAAGAAGGCCAAGAAGCGGGGAAACTAATTTCCTGGACCCCTACGCCCATGAGTTGTGGCGTTCAAGAAGAACATCTGGATTTTGTTAAGGAGAAAAAGGGCGAGAAAAGTCGGGAGCTGACAAAAGAAAATAAAAAAGTCGCATTTTGTTGATAAAATGGGAAAAGAAAAAGGATTCTCATGCTCCCAGAACCGATGATCTGCAAGTACCAGTTGGTGCAGATCCTGGCAAGGGCGCCAGTGAGATATCGTGGGTTACCCCAGACTCTTTATCTGTGGCATGGGGAAGACCGAGGATGGATTTGAGTCAACCATCCTGGCATACTTCACCAGTTGGTGAAGTTATGCCCGAATACTCGTCGGGGGAGCCACCGATACGGGAAGCTGTAGCTGAGTCGGGTGTCAGCTCAGCTGTACGGATTCATGGGAATGTGTTGGAGTTAGCTGGTCGAGTCCAGAACTATCCCACAAGGGTGTTGCTGGATTCTGGCTTGACAGGTAACTTTATTTCAACACAGTTTGCGGCAGCTATAGGGCTGAGAGTTCAGCCAGACCCAGAGTGGTAGGAAATCACGCTGGCAGATGGATCAAAGCTAAAAACGGACGGTCGAGTCCAATTTGCTCTGCGATGCGGGGGATACAAAGGGAAGATACTAGCCCGGGTGTTTCCTAATCTGCATAAGGAAATTGTCTTGGGAATTCCCTGGTTGAAACAGGTGAACCCCATTATCGATTGAACTCAAGGAAGTGTAAGAGTTTTTTATCGAGGGAGTGATGTGACCCTACCACTGATCCAAAAGCGTGAAGGGGTGGCTACGGCTGCAGAGGTGAAT